GAATGCCCTCCTGGCTGCTGACAACTCCCAGCACAAATTATTTTCTGGACACTGGAGAATGTGGCTGTTTTATGAAGGTGACTCAAATCTTTAATTTACTCATGGTCATTTTAAAGCTTTTCTAGGACACAAGTTTCACCAAATAAATAGCAGTAAAATCTCACCCAGATGTTCTGGTCCAGCTTTCCCTCCCTCTGTACCCATTGTAATTCATTAGAGAGCTCCAGCAGCACAATGCTGGCCACATTAACATGAAATACTCACCACATCTTCTTCGGTCCATGCACAAATATCAAAGGAGGGCAGCAACTGTGTGAGAGATATGAATTGAAAAGAAAACAGTCTGACCATTTTTCTCCCCTCTACCCAAATTTCACTCTGGTGGCCAATTTTATTTGGTTCTTTTTCCCCTGCAAAGGGCAGGACTTTAGGCTGTGACTCTCATACTGACATACTATAAACCCTTGGATTCGCACTGACCGTGGGCTGGCTCCAACAGCACACTGGCAGTGCTAAATAGATCCCATCACGTTATGTAGATAAAATTATCAGCAGATCTCCAATAGAAACAATTTAGGAAGGAAAAGTAAACTGTCCGATGGTGAGGGACTTTCTAGCTGCCTCTCCTCTCAGCTTTGACACCATGGGAAGGCTTTTGCACCACCTGATTTCTGCAATGAAAATAACGCTGCCATTACGACTCTCTCCCAAATGATGGGTATTTTCTGCAAAAGGAAGGAAAACTGTCACTAGACAGCAGTGAAAGCAGAATTTGGAGTTGGGCAACTGTGGCTAGTCTTCCTGTACAGACAAGTCTCTCCTACTTTCTGCCAATGCTTTGTAACTGCTCCCCCAAGGCCGGGGGAGTGCAGCCCTTTCCAGTTCCCCTCCCCAGGGCTGCAGCCCACGGGGGCTGCTCTGTTGGACTCAAGACAATGCTGGCTCTTGAAGCACAAGGAAACCACAGAGGATACACAGGAGAACTGCTGTGTTAAGTGAAATTCTGGGATGATTTGAAAACTGACACAGGAGAAGATGTCACTGTAATACTGATTGCCATTTTACTCATTCAAGCACACGGTATCCCAGGCTTCACCGTCTGAGCATTTTTACTGAGCTAAAGGGTTAGCATTAATGGGTATGTGTGTATTTGGACTATCAGTGTCTCCCAAAGGCTCAATACCATGATGTAGTTGTGAGCTTATTTGATGTACACAACATTGACTTATGAGAGACTCAGCTCGGTTACCCACCAGCCACCAAGGCTTTGTTACCTCCTCCAGAGAGCCCTGCTGCCCCTGAGCTCTCCAGCCCCCACCCACAGCCCAAGCATGCCCCCCGCAGCAGGCACCCATCCGTGCCGGCCTCCAGCTGAACACTGAGCCCCAGGGCAGAGTTGCCCGTTAGGTGCCCGAGCACTTCCCTGGCTCTCCAGGCTGGAGACCACGGTCTACTGTAATCCGCCCACAACTTCCAGCCATCGCTCTGAAACACCCTTTGCAGCATCCACGTGAAACTCCCATCGAAAGACTTGTGACTGCCAGACACCCCTTGACTTCTGCCTCCACATCTACCACTTTTTGCTGCCCACCCCACTTCGCGGATGCTTCAGATTCACTTCTCCACCAATGTCTCAGCCAAACCTTGCTGGGCACAAACCATCCATGAGACCAGCTGAAGCCAACTCTGTGAGGAGGACATAGCGGCCCCTCAAACCCATCCCTTTGCCCACTGCTTTCCTGAAGGGGACAGAGCCAAAGGCATCAGGGTGAAGTGGCAGAAGGGAAGATGCGTCTGCCAGAGAAAAAAGAGACCTTCCTGACTTGTTCTCTCTACTACACCATACTTCCAGGCAATCTTCTCAACCTCCCTGCTGTTGGTCAGGCATTCCCTATGCTAACAGCGACCTGCAGCCTGGGCAGGACGCTGTGGGGCAAAAGTAGTGCTGGGGGCAATGCCTGAGCACAAGGGAGGGCAAGTGGCAATTGCAAAACATCCCTAGGAAGGCAGGGGGTTGTGCCTTTTGTAGGTACTTAGAGTCAAACCGGCTGGTGCTGACGGAGGAGCCTGGTACAATAATTCGTACAACTGAATCATTTACCACAGAAGTCCAATACTGCGTTTTTAGTTGCACAATGGATTTTTTTCAGCTTTTCCCATGTTTAAATGTAACCAGTGGCAGAATATGTTCTGTATTATCTCAATTTTTTTTTTTTTTAAAAAGATGGGAGAATAAAGGAGAAATGTCACACAGTGAGTAATACAAAAAGTGACTTAAACCAGCAGACAATAAGGAACCTCTTGAAACACCAGCATTTTACACAGGGACACAGATGCATAAAATTTACTGTCAAAATGTTTATTGCAAAATAGAAGTTTGGAACAAAGAGAAGCAAAAGAAAAAGTTCACATCAAAAGAAAGTTTATGACACCAATTGAGGAAACTGAATACATTGCATGATTTCTTTTTCTGTTTGTTTGCTTTGGTTTTACACTGGAAAATCAAATCCACAGTGTGAATAAAACAAGACATCATATGTCAAGTGCAATAAAGAGAGTAACTGATGCTGCAAGGTTTTACCACACAGAAGTGTAACATCATACGTTCCACGCAAATGATATATTCAGTTTACAGCACAAGAGTTTTGGCACAGGCGTTGTGCTCAGCTTTGCTTTTTCAGAAGGGAAAATAAAGTTTTCTAACAGTGTGAGAATACTTTCTATTCAAATTTCATCAGTTCACACTTGAAGTGGAAGTAGCATTGACTCCTAGTATTCAGTACAAAACTTCTTCAGTAGTGCAAAAGCAAGAAATGCAGTGGACTATATCCGACTCTAAAAGGCATATGAATATTTAGCACACAATATAAAATGTTTCAAGAAGGTTGTTGGTTCTACAGTTTTAAAATTAAATCTTCACACATCAGAAATCTCTGTGCAGATTTTACAGTGTACACGAAGTCGAAGTCTGGGGGAAAAGGGAAAGGTCTCTCCTCCAGACTCCTACCAGTGCACTTTAAGGGCTGTGAAAATTACTAAATGAACTTATTTTTCTACCTGAACATTCTACCTAGGACTGTAGTTAAAACCTCTGTCAAGTTAGAGGTCTTATTAAAAACCTGTAAAAGCTGCCTGATTACAGAAAAAGGGACTAAAGTACTAACAACACACAGTAACACTGTTGAATACTTAACAGCTATAGGCACACTATGGATTTACTGCTATTGCTGATAGCAATATAAATCATTATTGCATCAAATATGTAACTCGGAATAACCACTTTAAAATACAGAAGGAATCAACATCTAAGAAAACCGCTGGAACAATAAACAAATGACAAGTCCAGAACATGACTGTGTGACAAGGAGCTGTGCCAGACCTCACCTCCTGGAAGCCTTTCCCATCTAGAGGGGACAAGCTCCACGTCAGGCAGGCAGCACACCACCAGCTGGGGATGCAGCATACCCACACACCGTACCTTAGGACACTTGCTGCTCCAAGGAATTAGTGGTGTGATTGTCACAAAAGTGACTAGATCTAAAGTTTTCTTCTATTAATTCCCCTTTCCATTTTCTCCCCATAGCTGAAGAAAAAGAAAGGGAGTTGGGGATCCTGTCCCAGCTTATCCTCTATCTTTAAGCAAGCCAAAAGCCAGTCTTCACCATTCTTCTCTCTGGCCACCTACGCATCTAAGTCAATGTTGGCAATACAACAGCCTGGTAAAACCAAGAAGTTCAGGCCTTGTTCTTACCTTTCCCCTCCATCAAATTTTACTGCAGATACCTCCAGGGATTTATGGAAGGTAGAGAAAACTGGGATCCCAAAAGGCCTGGTGGGGACTAGTGAGCTGAGAGGTGTACGAGGCATGGGAAGGCTTTTGGTGGCTTTGCTCACAGCCCAGAGCAGCCAGAGAAACACCTTCTGGCTTTGGTTAATGCTTCCACAAGCTGACACGCTATGTGGCTGTGGACTGTTCTGGAGATCTATATCCCCTGCCGATGATACAGGTAGAAGACAGCCTGGGTTACGCTGCAGAGCAAAATCAGGTGTGAAAGATTAAATACTCTGACCTCCTCCAACCAACACACCTGCCCACCAGAGCCATTTTCAAAACCTTTATCTAGTGAGAAGCATATCAGAGGCAGAAACCACACAGCTTGATTCTCACATATGATTTTTGGCTTGTAAACTGGAGATATCTGGTATGAAAGTCATCACAGGAAAGTAAAAATGCAATCGATACCATTATTTTTTTAGTAAGCATAACCAATAACACTAACTTATAACCAATAACTAAGAATAACACTATCTCAAAGGAACCTCATCAGAAGAGTTTGTCATATCTTATGACCCTCTCTACAATTCAGAGACCACCTTTGCGACTTTGAACATACAGGTAAGTTTTACAAGAGTTTAAATTTTTCCTTAATATAGCTTTGACAAATAACGTATGGGGAAAGAAAGGGAAAGGAGAAAAAAAAAATCCATCTTTGCTTCATTAAAAAACACTGGAACTAAGTAGACAGCAGAAATTCCTATGAGCATGCTACCAAATTCTGATGATATTTTACTGAAATAAGTTACACATCTGGGTAAGCATAAAACCTTGAAGATAGATTTAAATCTTGTGATTTTGCAACTATGAAACCCTGTGTCATACTACTTGAGGACGACTTTTACTTCTGTAAAGATTAAGGAGTTGATTTACAAATTCAGTTAAAACCCATGCAAATATAAATGTGCATGAAGTGCTCTGAGATTGTCAGATGCCAAAAAAGTGCAAAACATCAATGCTAGGGACAAATTTTTTGGTTTTTTTGAATGCTAAATTTACTGAACCAAATTTAATTTTCAGTTAAAGCTGTACAATCCTACACTGCTTATGTGGTACAGTAATTTATGCACAATGACACACATCTTATCATCTAAAGTGCACATATTAGATTACACAAATCCATCACATTTTCCTGGGTTCAAGGTGGCAGTCACAAAAATAATATCATTGCTGTAGGTGTTAGCAGACATAGACTTACAAGAATAGTACAAATCTGCACTGTCAGCAGGCTATTTGCTCTTATTTCCATTTAATTATTTCCATTGCCCTTCAATGACCCTTTTTCTCCCTAAAATCAGGTTGCTTTGATGGACCTAAGAAGCCATCCCTACCTGTGCTGAAGGAGCAAGTTTCTCCTTGGCATACTCCGTAAACTTATTACATCATTTAAATTACAATTCTGTCATGAGAAAAGCTTCCTGATACAAGAGGGTTAACTTCAAACCAATGGATTTGCAATGGTGAGGAAGAAGGT